GTATTTACATGCTATACAGTTGGTCTAGAATAGCTGTTGTATTTAAAACCTAATCCTTTATCCTTTCTCAACACAAAATAGAAAAACTAGACATCAATCTGCAACATTTGAAGTTAAGGACTGATGTTTCAGCCTTAAGTCAAGCCATTGGGCCCACTTCATCTTTACTATGGGCCCAATTCAACCCAATAAGTCTTCCATTGACTTCAGTGGAAATTGGACTGGGGCTTTGTAGCAGGTCAATACGATATCCAGCTGGCCTACTGGTCAGGCAATGGCTCCACAGTTCTCTTCAGTCTGTTCTGGAGGGGGTGGCCCTGACGAGTCATTGGCAGGCCTCAGTCCCTCCTATGTGTCCCTTCTTCTCCCATTGGAGAAGGAGGAGGATCAGGGTAGTGGGACCTGACCCAAGGCCCTGAAGGGTTGTTGCAGTGTCCAGACCATTTGTTGGTCCACCCCAATTTACATCCCCACAGTTCACTTCCTACCAGTCTACTGCTCCTCCATTTAGGGCAAGGTCATAGTATTAGAGGTATCAGTTTAGTCTGCCAGGGAGACAGTGCCCCATTCTCCAAAGCCTCTCATGGCTCCCAACTCGAAAAGGTCCAGAGTGGGTATGGATCACTGCTTCTCGAGGGCCCTTAGTAATGTTGTAATCACCTATCCCACAGCTCCAAGCATCAGCCTCACTTCCTGGTGCAGCCTGTATCTCCTGCATCTGTGCTACCAGAGCCCTTTTAAACTTTCCCTCCAGCTGGAGCATGCCCTGCAGCTGTTGGGAGACACAGGGCCTCAGCTAGCCCAGAATTGCTCAATACCTTGTTGTGATTTAGTGTGGAGTCTGTCAACCCCATCACAGGCCTATAAGAGGGAAAGACAGAAGGTTAGTCTCTGTTGGGTTTTGTCACACTCTTCAGTGTGAATATTGTATGTGGTGCTTGCCTTTTTAGCTGTAAAGGGAGCAACATGGCTAAAACCACACACAAAGCTGAGACATTTTACCCCTTTTAGATATTTAAGGATAGGGGTGTTAGCTAAATACAGTAGTGTGTTTGTGAATTATACACACACACACACACAAATTCTTGGACATCTGTCACATCAATATCTGGTAGCTACTATAATCCTCTAAATTCTTTCAAGTTACAATGTTGAAAATAGGGCTCTTCTTTCTGAGCTGTACTAAAAACACCCCACAGATTCTGACTACATAAATATCTTATACTCTCTAAATAAGTAAACAAACCCAGCTTAGCACTAAAGAACAGTTGGCTCCCTTATCTTTCCAACTTCAGTAAAAAGTGTAATAATTTGTGCTCTCACTCCTCATTCTGAAAGCAATTTACATCTGCTCTGCTCTCACTTCTTAACTGCAAGAAAAGATCTAATTTACACATCAGAAAAATTACTGAAATATTGATCGGTCTGTATGTTGTTGTTCTGGGTAGAATCAGTAAAAAATAAGGGGCTTTTTTTCTGGAGAAAATTGTGATAAAAACAAAACAAAATATGTTTGTCTAACATTTCCGTGAAACATTTTGATTTTTTTCAGCTGTAAGTTGAATACCAAAATTTTTTTGGCCAAAAACGGAAATATTTTTTTTTAATGAAGAATTAAAAATTTCCACAGAAAGTAGATATTTTTGTGACATTTTTGTTTAGTCAGAACCCCAATTTTCCATTGAAAAAGTCATGATGGAAAATTTTCAGCCAGCCTTACTTCTGAGCATCCATCAAGCTAACATGGTCTCTACAAACCATGCACCACTCCCTCCTCTGCTAGCTTTTTGTAACACCCTAGGTAGAATGTTTCTACCCTGTGCCTATAATCTCTGAAGAGTTCTGAATGCTTTTATATTTCAGATATGTACTAAACCCACTCAACCATGGTTGTGTAAATTTTCCCACACTGTTCTTTCCCATTTTTCAGTCAACAGCATTTATAAGTGACAGGGTCCAATTTCCTATTAATACAATTTTTTCCTCCTTTGCTTCCAGCAGAACATCTGCCCTGCTTCTCATCACAAATGTCAATAATCTCTATGCCAGTCTAACCAACATCTGGAAACTGAATGAAGTAGCAAGCACCAAGAATTCAAAATCCTAGTTCTAGTCTCAGACATTGGAGTGCCACTGTACTGAAATGTGCCACTTTACCTCAATGGAATTTTTGTTTTATTTAGGAAAAATATTTTAACTGGCAAAGGATTACTGACCTGAGTGAAAAGCTTCATCTCAGTTTAGGAAGGAAAGGGAGAAGGCATAAAATTTTACCATGAAATATTAGAAATAAATTCTTAGCTGATAAATATGATCATAATAAAAAAATGTCCTCTTTAAAAAAAAATCCACAGTAATAACCCAAAATTAAAGCTTTTTCATCCCACCTTTTGGTAACTTTTAGACCATCAAGAAACTGGTAGCTCTGTAATTCCACCCTTTAACTCTGAGGAGCTGGTAAGTTATGTATGGAACAGAAAGCAATTGTGGACACATCTGCATCATTTTCACATGATTACTTTAAGTGTCATTTTAATGAAAATCTGTAGATTTAACTATTCTCAAAGCAATTGTCTACCATTATTATAGAGATTAATATCACCAGCAACAGCTATTGTTTCTTCATCACTAATTGGGCATGCAAACTAGAGGTTAAGAATCTGTCAAAACTTAAACTGAATATATCACTTTATAACACTTTTTTCCCCTGTAGAGAGGAAAGTACTGACTCTGTTTCTGCTACAGATGTAGTTAATGGCAAAGTGCTCAGTGAATTCAGTAGAGGCAGGATTGGTCCAGTGTGTGATACTGCCAGATGTAGATTATAACATGAAAGATTTTAGATGACTTGGATGCAGTTGGGAGCTAGAATACAGTACCCTTCCATGAGACAGCTAATCAACAAGGTACTTAAGCAAGTGCTTAAATTTAAGTACCTGAGCAGACTGAAACCAGTGGGGACTACTCACATGAAGTCCCTTGGTGAATCCCTTGAAAGGGAGCACTATTTTCAAATTAATTCAAGGCACAAAAACTGTCCTTTGATTTAGTTTCTACACACTACCTGCAGTTGGTATTTCTCTCAGACTTAAAGCTGCTCTGTAACAGAATGCATGTATTATGGACCAGATTCTGCCACACTAATTCAGTTACACTTTGAGTTTCTTTAAGGTGTGAGCATGAGGAAGAATGGCACTTTCCAATATTTTTTATTCTTTTAAATCAAATTTAAAGGATCAAACCTTATTGTTTGCTAAAATATGCAGCATTTGGCTATTCATTAGAGAGCTAGAGAGTTGTGCTTAGTCAAGAAAACTAAGTCAACAACTGAAGAATATGTTATTAGTTTGACAGCAACAAAAAAATCACACCATAAAATATTTATTAAACAAAGGGTTTTTTCTTCACTTGTAAGAAACACTTTATGTCAAGTGCCCTGTAAGAGATTTAAAAACTTTACCAAATGTTAACATTGATTTTACATTATTATACACAAGATATAAAACACCACATCTCACAAACTTCCTTTTATTACAGCTCAGGGTTTGGTTTTTTTCCCAACAGTTGTAAATTAATTTCTACATACTTAAATTTAACTTAAAAGTTTTAAACAAGTAAACAATGTACAAAGTGATTCACCTGAATTTCATAAATCAGAGCAGGTGTCCTTAACAGGGCATGTGCAATGAATGCAGTGCATTCTGGGAGAGAGAGAAATAGAGAGCTAACTTATTCACAGTTGAAAAAGCTAACATCAGGCTCTGGGAAACTGTCTTCCAGAAAAGAAACAATGGACATGATCCTGTGAGATGCTGAGCACCTTTAATTCCTCTTGAAGCCAACAAAAGTTGAGGGCATTTAGGCCTAGATCTAAAAGTATTTAGACGTTGCTCTGTACAGCACTGAAAGGTCTAGTTCCTCAAAGTTATTTAGATGCCTACTTCCCATAGGAGTTGGGTGCTTAGGTGCTTTTGAAAATCCCACTAGGTGCCTAATATTCTTAAGACTTAAAATGCTGAGCAGAGCAATGTATAAATACCTTTAAAAATTTGGGCTTCAGTGCTTTGTAGGAGGTACCCAGCACTTCTCAAGATCAGCCCCAGTCTTTTCTAGTCAAAAGAAATAAAGTGGCTCAAAGGATGCCTCTTTCTTAAAAGTTATATATGCTGTACTATTGTTATGGTATCAGCCAACAGTAGCAGACCTGATGTAAAATACCTACTCCTTTTCTTATTTCAGTGGTAAAGAACATCTCTTCCTTTTGCTTTTTTGTGTTGCATGTTTACAAATAAACCATTAGATCTGACATACAGTCCATGTAACAAAATTGTTAGTATCAGATTCATTGCAACATAAGGAATCAGTATCAGACAATAAGAAAATATTTTATCAGTTCTAGTCTGGTTAAAGCAATTTAATGTTTTCAGTATGCCCTCAATACTATACTGTCATTCCAAACATAAAGAACAAATTGATTGAAATGCAGATTAATTTAAAAACGATGAAAGCAGCCTTAAAGACATTGTGGGTTTTGTTTTAAAGAAGTATGAAATGCATGTTACAATTAACACAAACAGATTATTCCTTGTACAGTAAAAGCTTTTTCATCCAGCATGTTGGTGGTGTGGGGGGTGCCGGTAAGTGAAAAATTCTGGTTAACTAAGAGGGAGAGAGTTTGGGTGCGGGGCAGGAGGTTGGGGCACGGGAGGGGGTGTGGGCCCTGGGAGGGAGTTTGGGTGTGGGAAGGGGCTTGGGGCAGGAGGTTGGGACACAGGAGGGTGCAGGGTGCCAGATCCAGGGGGCGCTCACCTCGGGCGGCTCCCCGCCAGCAGCAACCTGTCCCTGCTGCCCCTAGGTGGAGGCGCAGCTAGGTGGCTCTGTACGCTGCCCCTGCCCTGTCCCAAGCACTGGCTCTGCAGCTCCCATTGGCCAGGAACTGCAGCCAATGGGAACTGGGGGAGGGGGGGCTGCGGGCGGAGGCAGCGCACAAAGTTGTCTAGCCACGCCTCCACCTAAGAGCAGCAGGGACAGGTCGCCACTTTCGGGGAGCCATACGGAGCCAGGTATGGAACCTGCCAGCCACATGACAACCAGACTATAAACCGGACTTTCTATGAAGATTAGAAATGCCGGTTTATAGAGCTTTCCGGTTGGTACAGGGCCGGATACACAACTTTTACTGTATATTGGTTGCTTCTTTAAACTCAGGAGATTATCTATTTTATCACAAATGGAATCAAAGGTTTTAGTGCAAAGTCACCCTCTGCAACATGCCATCTGCTTGAAGGCTTAAAGATTTCTACATTGTGCAGAAATATTTCATTTATAAAGCAATTATACAAAATGAAAAGCTATTAGGACTTGAGTGTTTTGGTTGTTCTTTTGTTCATTTTCAACGCAAATAACAAAAAAATAGTTTTTCCAGAAACTGACTCCTAGTCTAGCTGTGCAAATCATTCCAAATTCAATTTGGATTGGCAATATTTTAGCATCAGAACGGGTCAGCAGGCCCTGGAGTTCAGAAAGGTTTGGGTTAGAATGAATCCCATTTTCCCATGGTTGAATTGCATTACAAACCCATGGGTAAGATCTTGGTTTGACATGTTTGTGCACATTCACACAGGTTTATGTTTCACAGGAAGTGGGATTAGTAGCCCTATTTGAAGATACTACATGACCTTTCTCTGCAAGAACAGTTCAAACTTGAAATGCACAGGACAACGGCAGTATCAAAGATTTTGATCAAAGCAAGAACTTCATATCTGTTTTTTATTACAGTTCACTGAGATAAACAAAGACTGTGCAAACCCCTATTGGTTCCTGAACATGAGTCAAACTCAAATCGAGAATGATTCCAAGTGCACTGGAAGTTAGAGCTGAATGTTTTACACACTTCTAATTCCTACATAAATATAAGGGACAAAGAAAATAATCTGTGAAAAACTAAGAATAACACCTCATTCCACCTTGAACCTAAGGTGAGTAAGAAATCATAGGACTTGGTAGCAGGTTTCTAACTTACAATAATTGCACGGTTTAGTCTTCCAGTGACAATGTGATTGTCTGTAAAGCAATATGAAATGTTGTAAAGGAGTTGGGAGAGAGGAGGAGAAGAGAGGTTTCTTAAATACTGTGATCTTGTACAGTGTAACAAAACTCTTTTTATGAAGTAGCCAAATGCTTTGACCGTGCGATACCTGAAGGGCACTTAACGGCTCAGGCATTTATCTCTCACACACAGTTATCTGAAATGCATATGCATCTTCAGCATAATCCATTGCCACTGTTAATCATGAATTGGAATGGAAGCATATCTGGAAATGGTAATTCAAAGATATCGTTACACAGTTTTTGGCAACTGAATCCAATGTAAAGAAATGGGTTATAAACACTGTCTGACATGCATGAGTCTTTCAAAATTATTTACAAATGAGGTTCTACAAGCTTCATTCCAAAAGTATTTCTCCTCTGCTTAGGTGCTAAAATATGTGATTTTTTTTTTTTTAAGTTACACAGTCACTGCTGGGTACATCTTCTGTTCACTATTGGCATGGGGATAGGGAGACTGAATCTGCCTGTATCCACTTTGCAGACCATCCAGGAAAGGTGGCACCGGGGTCATAGGCATAGAGTCATGTTGGACAGCATAACCTACATACTGTGGGTGCAGATACTGCCCTTGATGTGGCACAATCTGGGTAGCCTGCTGGCAGTTCAGTACTGAGAAATTAGTAGGCATGTTGACATAGACATTATTCATGGTCCCTTCTGGCAAACAGCAGTTGGTCTGTGACCTAGTGGGGGGTGCTCTGGCACCTGAGTTGGCACTGGAACTGGAGCTGGCAGCAGTACTCGATTGACGAGAAGAGGAACCACGGGAGGTACTGGCACTTGGAATCATGGGAATAGTCTCCATCAGCCGATTACCTCCAGGTGCTCGGCTCTGCTGTGGCTCTTGCTTGGGTCGCAGGCATCTGCAGCAACAAGCTGCTACTAGAGACCCCAAGATGATAAAGGCAACAAAAACAGATCCAACTATAAGGAATGGCACATAAATGGGCACTACAAAGAGAAACAAAACCACTGTTATTAGGAGTTGCTACGAAGGCCAAACCTAAAAAACAAAGTTATACAAAGAGAACAAGAGAAATGCTTATTTCTTTCAGTCACTCAGCATTAATATACTCAAGTCCTCCAGGGAGAAATGATTCTGGAAACTAAACATTCCACTTGCTACTTTTAATAAAAGGACTAAAGAAAATATAGATGCTGCAAAAACTAATGGTTGGGATTTTCAAAGTGCTTAAATTGGAGCTCTGCCCACAGAGAAAGGATGGCAGGCCGGGCCTTCCAAGACCTGGTTTAAGTCCTTGTTCTACCACTGCCTTCTTGTGCGATCTTTGGAAATTAACTAGGAAATTCATCAGTCTCTGTGTCCCACTTAGCTACTCCCCTTCCTCACAGGTTGTCTTAAAGACTATGAGATGCTCAAAATGCTACAAAAAGGGGGACCACATCTCTCTTACAGCCAACATGGCTGGGACTCATCCTTTTCATTTAAGACTGTCAGCCCCAAGACTTAAGTATTACTAACCCTTGAGATGGCATTACCTGACCACATTAACTGGAACAATTACTAATGAGATGTGCAGGACACAAGGTCAAGAGGACAAGACAGTCACAAAGACTAGTGACAGCTATCAGATCATGGTGAGCAGCAAATAAATCTAATACGTGATTTTTAGAAAAAATGACTTGTTTTTAACAGAGTCTTATCTTCATTGAAACTGGAATGGCTAACATTAGAGTCACTTACATAGGCATAATTATTAAACTAAAGGCTGTTTAACCTATCATTTTTTGTAATTTTAACACCTTTTAACAAACAGTTTCTAGTATCATTGTTTATTTAGACTATCGTGATTGGTTAGAAGTCATTTTGAAATCCTGTGTAATAGAAGTTACTTTTCCTGAAACAGTTGTTCCCTTTCAAAGTTTTTTTTCCCTTTCTTTTTTAATTGGAAGTGCAAACAAAGCTGAAAGAATGATTAAGTATACTGCTGCTATATAGATCTGACACAACTTGTTCAAGACATTCTGGAGACAAGTGGTGTTGTCATTTAAATAAATGCAGAACTTAAAACCAATCAAAGGTTTTGTCATTCTTAAAGTATCCAAACTCCTTGACAGTAACTTAGCTTTTTACATGTTTCCGATTTTAATAGTTGCAAATGATGGACTAACTGACAAGTTTCTTATTTGGAATCCAAAGATTTGACATTTGCATTTCTGTCCTACTTTTATCATTACCCAGATAAACTGAGGATGTGTGTGTGTATGTCCTTCTGTTGTTGTTATAAAAAAAAAAGTGTTTGATTTACATTTAAGGCAGAAACATATTCTCTTATTTTGTCTCATTTTTCAACTGATCCTACTGCCAGAAGTATTAGTAAGAAAAAATATGTGCTGTAAAACTAAGGGGAATTACCCATAACTACATGTGGATTCACCATGACCAGCCAAATCTTGGTCCCTCTGAAGTCAATGGCAAAACTCCCTACAGGTCTATTAACAACATCCCAGGTAGCAGTTAAAGGCTCAGCTGTCATAGGCAGGGCTGAAAATGAGGGGTTGCAGCTCCCCTCGTTAAAAGATGTGTCAGAGATGTAGGAATGTTTGCCAGTCAGCCCCTGCTCCCAAGAAGTCTCTGCACTCAGGGCTTGTACCCAGGTCACTAGCCAATAGGCTGACGCCATTAACCTTGCAGGGCCGAGGCAGGCACTAGGTGCCCTAGATCGGCATTTCTTAGCCCTTTCGCCCGCGGCTGCTCTCAGACCTATGTTCAGGTATCTGTGAAGGTAGAGCCTGGGCTCACCATGACACCTGGCAGCCCGACTGGCTGGGGGCACCCTGGATTAGCAGTGCCAGCGCCTCCTTTGGCCCGGGGGCTCGGAGTGGCTAAGCTTGGCTGTCCCATAAGCATCCTCCCCTGAGGGGCTGAACTGCCTGCTCGCCTGGCTGCCCCGCGCCCATGGTGCCCAGCCCCGGCGCGTCGGGCTGGACACGCTGCAGAGCCGCCAGGGCTCCGGGAGGGGGCTGCGCTGGGCCAGGACGGGGTGGGGGAGGAAGCCGCGTACCTGCTGCGCCATCCGGGCCGTCTTTGTCCGGCCGGCCTTGCTCGTCTGCCCCCTGCTGCCGGTCGTTGTCGCACACGCCCTGGTCCAGCCTGGCCTCGGCGCTGGAGCAGCAGTAGCGCAGGGCGCAGCTGCCGCAGCAGATGGTGGCGTCCCCGCCGTCAAAGCGCTCGGGGCACTGGAACCCGTCCCGCCAGGCGCCCTGCGCGTCCAGCCAGCCGTGGCAGTACTCGCCGCTGGCCCCGGCCCCCGCCGGCAGCAGCCAGCCCAGCGCCGCCAGCAGCAGCCAGCCGCGCCCGCTCCACATGGCACCGCTCAGCGGCGGCGTCCGGGGCAGCAGCGCGCCCGGCAGAAAAGGGGGGTGGGTGGGTCCTCAGCACGCACGGGGCTCCTCTGCTAGCGCCCACCTGTGCAAGGGGGGAGACAGCACCCAGCTGTCCCGGGTGTGTGTGTGTGTGTGTGGGGGGGGGCGGGTTGTGGACACAGCACCCCGCCCCGGCGGGGGGGGGGGGGGGGGCTGGTTGCGGACACAGCACCCCGCTGTGGAG